TAAACATCCCCAGCTCCCTAAGTCGTTCCTCATAGGGCTTGGTGGGGATGAAACTTACAAACTGCATTATTTGATATTACATTGTTCAGGAAATCATATCAGACGTAATAGCTGATATTAATTAGTATGTTTTATTTAGAAAAATACTAATAATTTCTAACATTCTGGGGTTTTCCCCATGGCCAGTAATGTGAGTGAAGCTGACACAAAGTTGTCCTTTTTGTTCTTACCAATTGCAATCCTTCGCATTGTGGCACTCCGTGTGGGTTTTTCTGGCTCAAGTACCCAGGTCTTCTCATCAATTTCATCTAGAGCATTCCAAAACTCCTTCAGTGATTCTAATGTTGCCAAGAATTGACTGTGAATGCTTAATAAGGAGCTCTAAGAGACAAGGAAATTGTAACAGATTTTAGAGATGGCATTTCACCAATAGCAACAGAAAATGGCAAAATAATGGCCTGTTGCAATTTTTTAAAAGTTTAACACAAATCTATCTGTAAAACATGTGGCAAAAAAGACTGCCCCCCCCCCATACTTTTTCAGTTTTGACTGGACCACACACTGACTGGGCTGTACTCTTTGGCTATAGTATGTTGGGCAGCCTTTAACTATTTGCTAGACTAGAGGTGATCAGGCCAAAACCAAGTGCACTGTTGTTGTTAACTGACATCATGTCAACTTCAACGATGGTGACCCTATGAACAAGATACCTCTAGGTCCCCCATCTTCAACCACCCTGCTCAGGTCTTGCAGACTTAGTTATGGCTTCCTCAATTGAGTCTATCTATCTGAAATATGGTCTTCCTCTTTCCCTACTGCCTTCTACCTTACCAGGCATTATTGCCTTTTCTAGCAGACCATGCCTTCATCATGGCTTCTAGGGAGTGTTCAGACTTGATTTGGTCTAGGATCCATTGTTTGGTCTTTTTAGCAGTCAGTCTAAGGGCTGATGCAGACAGCCTCTAAGGGGCTGTTCTGTGCCACCCCTGGGAGAGCCGGATTGGGGCTGTGGCAACCACACGCTGTGCCCCGATCCAGCTTTTTCGGGCGGCAAAAAGCCGCCTTAGAGCTGCCGCTACAGCTCTTTTGTGCCCGTTTGGTGCAGCATGTGTGCACACTGTGCCAACGGGGTGCCCTGACACCACACACCATGCAGTCGGGTGCGCGGCGTGGGGCAGCTGTTGTGCGGTTGCCCCACTCCAACTCCACCCCCAGGCTGGCCCTTTAGGCTGGTCTGCATCAGCCCTAAGGTATCTGCAGAACACTTCTCCAGCACCAAATCTTGAATGAGTCAATTTTCTTCCTATCAGCTTTCTTCACGGTCCAGCTTTCACAACCATAAATAGAAATGAGAAATATGTTGGCATGGACAATCCTAACTTTAATATTCAATGAGATATCTTTGCTCTTCAAAATCTTGTCCAGTTCTTTTAGTTGACTTTCCACATCCTAGCCTTCTTCTGACTTCTTGACTGCAGTCTCCACCTGATTAATGATTGAGCCAAGGTATGCAAAATCTTGAATTATTTTAATGTCTTCATCATCATTTGTTAGTTCTTTAAATCATCTATGGTCATTATTTTTCTTTTCTATTTAGTCACCTGTAAACCAGCTTTTGCACCTTCTTCCTTTACTTTCTTTAGAAAAAATATATATCTCATTACACAATTCAATGGATTCTAGTGTGCAATCTACCCCTTCTGTAAAAAAAAAAAAAAAAAAAAAATCTGTGGTAGTTACTTACAAAATCATCCTCAGCTTCCGGAGAGCAAGGTGTCTGTATTTCATTCACATTAAGCTACCATTAAGATTTGGAGTAGCAAGAGGTTTAAAAATATGCCACACTGGTACGTGGGCTTTTCACTGCTATATAAAATGTTAGCTGGGACCCAGCCTCACATTTCAGGAAGACATGTGTGGTTACTCATCAGTTACTTATAGCACACATTTAAAATAGATTCTCAGAAACCCTGGTGTTTTTTGGCAGCAGACACACATTTGGAGGAACCTATGTATCACAAAACTGTATAATGTCAAAGTTTTTTAAACATATACTTATATACATGGAAACTAAAAATGTCAGGAGAAAAACAAAGCTATTTTAGGAGGTTTTAAAAAAAAAGAATGGCTGTATAGTTCTCATTCCTAAAGTAATAAGACTTTCTAAAAGTAATTTACAAATATGGGTCCTTTTATTACTCTCCTCCAGTTCTGAAAGACACAGATAAAAGTTTTGAATAGTTTAATAATTATTTTTTTGGTGTGGCTTTATGTACATGAAAAATATTGAAAAAAGAAAGGGCAGAGCTTGAGAAACAAAATGTAGGATTTCTCCTACTGTTATTAAATTATATTAAAGTGAGAAAGCACTTAAGCAGAAAAGTGTGAATACTGCCAATCTCAAAATGTAATGCTTATTATCTTTAAAAGCATTTTGTTACTTTTATAATACCTGAAGTGATATAATAGTGTCAGTCACTTAACCAGATCTTAGAGCATAATATCTTCATCTTAAGTACTATTATTTCCAGTATTTTAATAATTTTCACACTGTCTTGGAATGTGATCTTTTGTGCTCTGATGACACTTAAATTAATAGCATAATTTTCTGGTACTTGCAACAGTTGCTTTCCATTTTGATTTTTCACATTTTCCAACATCACATACAGATAAATCCTCTAATAATCATTTTTATCTTTATCTTTAGGGAATTCAAAGGATTTTCAGTAGAAATAAAGGAACATCAAGGGATTAGAATCCACAGATATATTTTGAAATCCAATTAATTTTAATACTAATTGCAATTTTTCAATGATATCCCTTAAAAGGTGGCCAAATCTTTTCTTAAAGTGAACTGCTCACATGATCCTATTTGCATGCTTCATTGATGTTGCCAACTAACTTTCCATATGCATATCTGAATCTCTATCTTAAAATCATCTACATTACTTTGTCATGCAAATGATAAAGAATTTATCACCCATTTTACACTTCAACTAGTTTATTTCTGAACACTTCTCCTTTAAGCAATTTGAATGAATTCCATTTTTATCTGTGACAAGATATTCAATATCAAATGTGCCGCTTAATAATTTTAGGTAGAGGTTTTATTTCTATATCTAATATGTGGATTGTCCCTCTGTTCAATGAAAGCTTGAGGTGATGTACACTCTGGTACGTGCACATATGCAAGCATGTACACGCACACAAACACATACACACACGCCATCGGCACATGATTGCCTGTTTCTGTATTTTTATGTATAATATTTTCCCTAGCTACATGTATCTCAGACATTTACAGGGCAGAATTCTTAGTGGCATTTATACTACAGTACATGAAATTTCCAAATGATTTTTTGGGGGCAATCTCACAAAATACATTCCAGTAAGGCAGTTTGCATATCAGTAAAACACATGTGATGATGGCCAGGTCCTCCATCTCTCAGATTGGGCACAACTGGTGCACTAACCAGTATGTAAGGAGATACGTTGCAAGATCTCCCCATGGGGAACTACTGACTGTAGACTGATAACACAATGTCAAGTGGAATAAAGGTCTGCCAACACTGCAACACTGCCTACAATACAGTATTTATCTGAGAAAAAGACTGCCAGCAAGAAAAAGATTAGGAGCCAGCGTGGTGTAGTGGTTTGAGCACTGGACTACATCTGTGGAGATCAGGGTTCGATTCCCTGCTCAGCCAGGGAAACATACTGGGTGACCTTGGCCAAGTCAAACACTCTCAGTCCCAGAAAACCCTGTCTTAGGGTTGCCATAAATCGGAAACAACTACAAAGCACACAACAAGAAAAAAATAGTTATACCGGTCTGTCACACCGGAGCATGCTGTAACTCAGGCAATAGCAGGCAGGGCATGCTTTTAGTGTCCAAATTAACCCTTAAAAATCAACACATCTAACTGCCAACAAGGAGTAATGCTGATTCTGGCACTCAAGCTCTCTATAGCAAGTAGCTTTCAATTATGGCTTCTGTATGAAGCCACTGGCAGGTAAAAGCCTTTTTGCGGCCTTCAAACAGACACAATATATGAAGCAGTGCTCAGAGACTGGTGTGAAATGGAGCATGCTTTGGACATTATTCCCACTCTTGAAATACAAAACATTGCCAAACTCCTACTTAAGTCTTCTTTTTAGTACCATTATGTTGGAACCAATCTGATTACCTTCTGAAGGTGTGGAGAACCACTCATGATTATGACACTACAATTCTTCTGACACTATGAAAGAAACTGTATATAATATTTATCTTCAGTATCTAAGAGGAGCACTCAGATTTGATTTCAGATAGCCTCAGATAGGTGCCTTATTCTATCATTTAAACCCCAAGCAGTGAAGGGATAATGAATTATTTCCCCCCTTTTCCTTGTTGTTCTATCTACCATTGCAATGTCTATACTGAAATATTTTAAACATGGGGTAGGGAGGAAGGACATAATTACAGAAGGAGGGAAAGGTTCAGTGCATTCTTCTGTCCTGGGAGTTAAAAAAAGAAGAAGTTTTCTCTTTATCTTTATAGCTTATCTGAAGTATCTTAGGGCCTAAGCAGACTGCCAAAAATAGTGCACATTAAATTGAGGCACTGCCCTGGCTCAGTGCTAGAGAATCATGGGAACTGTAATTTATTGTGGCACCAGAGCTCTCTGACAGAGAAGGCTCAATGTCTCAGAAAAAAATACAATTCCCATTATTCCCTAGCACTGAGCCAGGGCAGTGCCTCAATTTAATGTGCACTATTTCTGGCAGTCTGCTTAGGCCCTTAGTTGTCATGCATACTAGGATCCTGTCCGCTCCTTCTCTCATCCCTCTCCCCAACTCCTCCCCGCCCTTTTAGTTTAGTTTTAAATTGACTTCTGAAAATTGTTTCAGTGCTATCTGCCATAGACTTAACTGATGAATTTACACCACCTGATTTCTCATTTCATTAATTCCAAATAATCTGGATAGTCTTGGCAGCAGTCCACCTGGGTTGAAAATGCTGCTTAGTGCCAGGTCAAGGAATGATAAAACGGCTGCTATTCAGGATCTGATCCTGGATGAATATGCTGATACAGACTTGGTTGGATGAGATGGGAGGGGATCTCTCTCAGCTTTGTCCACCTGGATTCTCTGTGCAGCAGCAGGCAAGACCAGGGAGTAGGGGGAGGAGTAGCAATGGTCTATCTGTATAAGATCACCCTGGCTAGGTGCCTTATCCCTCAGTCTACAGGGTTTGATAGGCAAATGACCACTTGAGTTCACTATTAAATGAATGATATATGAGATTATCTAATGTTTTTCCACATTTGCTTTACTTGTTCAGGTCTTTTGGAAGATAGATTTGCAACACAAATTGGAAGTGTTAAGCAGTGCATACTTCCACACAGAATGCTTCTACCACTCACAACTGAAAGGCATTATGCAGCTGTTCTGTTTGTTTTTATTAATGAATTTCCTCTGGGAAAAGAAGAAGATAGAAATAATGGGGGGGGGGGTCTCCAACTTTATCAGGTTGCACACTGAAATCAGTATTTAAACTTTCTGCAAACTTCCATGCCCCAAACAGTACAATTACACTGTAAAAGCCTTTCCTGGAAGCAACCAGGTAGCCGTAGATGCCTGCATGACTTGTAATACCAATCCTGGATATGAAACAGCAGAACTTAAGAGCAACAGTCCACAGCTAAAACTTAAAAGGAAATTAAAATTTCTTTCAACTGAAAAGCGAAGGAAATACTTGTTAGCTAGGCAATATCCACTGCATTGATTGAAGGATTAAGACAAAAACATGAGGAAAATGTAGTGCAATGAATAGGTTCTGACACAGCAGGGGTATGGATTGGATGACCTGCTAGGTCTCTTCTCTTAGTAATTTATGATTCTTTCAGATTTGCCTGGAAAATGGTTTCCATTTGTCATTTACTCAAGCTGAACCTTCTTTTCAGCACCCCTCCCAATCCTCATATCCACCAGCAAAGAAAAAGAAAGTGTCAAATCTGTAATCTTTAAAAAAAAAAAAAAAAAAACCTCACCTATTCTGTGTTATTGCCTTTGTGTGTGTTATTGATTCAATATTCCACAATTCCATTGCAGGCTTAGCAACAGAAGCTAGAAATACAGCAGGCTTATTCTGAAGATCCGGCACTGCATATTTTACTAAAAATACTTTAACGAAGATTTCAGAGGAAAAGACAAGGCTTTAATATGAGGTTCCGTGAATAAACTACAGGCAGTCATTGTATTTTTCCTCCAAAGTGGAGTAGAAAGCAAATTTATCTGACTAATTAAAAAAACAAAGTAAAGTATGTAACTGAAGTAAGTAGATGTACTAGCAATTGTCATTGGGAAGCTCTCTGTTTATTTGGCATGTGGAACAATGGCAGCAGCCTTGCCCTTGGTGCTGATTTCTGACTATTCTAAAATGTCTCCTCTGAGCCAGAATACACTGGCTGCTACTGATCATGCTGTGAGACACCTGCACTGGCTACTAGGCTTGTCATGACGCACAAAACCCTACCATCTTCAGCTTGACATTGTGCACGTTATAATTATTCATCCAAATGAATATGTCAGAGCAGCAGCATCAGACCTCTCATCAGAGCACAAGAAAAATACATCAAAACATTATCAACCCAGCAGGAAGACAGGGACCATAAGGAAAATTACCCATTTTTAATACAGATGCCATAAAGCCATGTCTATTATTATTCAGGGTGGGGGGTGGAGTGGAGGGAGAACCACCATCAAGCTCCAAGTCCAAAAGTACTGAAGAGCATGAAAAAGGAAACAGCTGTTGGGGGAAAATCAATTATGGTACCTGAAATCTATTTATATTCTCTTTAACAAGAGTGTGCTGGTATTCTAACAGTGACATTTGTACTGTTTGAGTTAAGGTGCTTGTCAATGTTTTCAATAAGGTGACCTACTGATGTTAAAATTAAATCCCTATCAAACATTAGAACATCATGCTGAATACACAAAGTATCCAGAACAGAAGAGAATCCATATGTTTATTGTTTGCACATATAATTTTTACATGTATGTACATACAAAACATTTAATTTCTTATTGTTTTAAAAGAGTCTACTTGGACTGCAATGTCAGATAATTTTCACTTATTTTTTTATTTGATTCACATACATAAGTACCTAATGAAGTGTCAAATGTGAGGATGGGAAGAACTTGGTACATGTCTCTTAAATCATAAAACTCAGTTGCAGAAAACTGTTTCTTTCCTTAATTTTGTACCCACACAAGCTTTACACTAGCTGGGATGCATTTGTATTTTTTACTTGGCCATGGTTGTCAACATAGGAATAATTATGTAAAAGGGCAGGTTGCTTACCTGTAACAGTATTTCTTCAAGTGGTCATCTGCGAATTCACACAAATGGGTTATTCTGCGCCTGTGCAGAGCCATTCGGAACCTTCTTAGAGCTATTAGAAGCATGGACACCAAAGCAGCAGCCGAGGATTGAAGAAGAGTCAGGCCACCACTCTGAGGGGAGGATGGGTGGGATTTATGTGAATTCGCAGATGACGACTCGAAGAAATACCGTTAAAGGTAAGCAACCTGTCCTCCTTCTTCATGGTCTCTGCAAATCAAAAAATGGGTTAGACTGACAAGCTTCAGAAAGTGGAGGAGGGAGTGCCATGCCACATTAAGAGAGGCACATTGATCCCAAACAAAATCACCATTTGTGAATCATAGCCCAAGATATGTAAATATAGGGGCGAACAGTCCTGCTAACATGATAACTCTACTTGAGTCCAGCTGAAATTTCAATACCGAGACGTAGTGGAAACAGTCACCAATGCAGATGAGAACATGCAGTGGCAGAAAAAACAAGCATACCAGCTAACCTGTATGTTGCACAGACTGCTGATAGACCTTAATGGTCCATGATAACATGGCAGATGTATGGCTAAGGTCAAGGGAAAAAAACCTCTAACCTAGACAGCACAGGTTTGCTAGCAATGGAAATTATGCCAAAGCTATACATTAAGTAGGTGGTGTGAAAGTAAAAGAAGCTCACTTCTGTAAGTGGTAAAGGAATAGTAGACAAATACCGTAACAACAAGTTGACCCTGTTGACTGCAAGATTGGAAGGTTGGCAGTTTGAGGCCCAGACGCTGCATGATGGGGTGAGCTCCCATCATTATTCCCAGGTTCTGCCAGCCTAGTAGTTTGAAAACATGCAAATGTAAGTAGATAAATAGGTACCATAGGAAGATAAACAGCATTCTGTGTGTTCATGCTGGCCACATGACCACAGAGTAGTTTCTCACAACACTGACACTTCAGCTAAGTAACAGAGATGAGCACTGCCTCCCACGGCCGGACACGACTTGACAACATTGTCAACGCGGAGTACCTTTACCTTTACCGCAACAAGAAGGCAAGGTATACAGATTCCATCTGATCCAGGAGATTAATGGAAACCAATGCGAAGGGCAACAAACTTGCAACAATGTGAGGCTGCACAGGTCGTGACATTGGCAATGAAGCCCTCAAAATTGAAGATGTGTCAAAAAAGGGATCTTTCAAGTGGAAAAAGGGCAGTGACCTGATAAAGCCTCCCAAAGCCATTGTTTGAAGTTTATGGCATCGACAGACAAAGCCTAGAATGCTAGTAGTCTTGGACTAAGTGTCTCCTTGGACATAGAATGTGAAATAGACCATCTGTGCTTGGCAATGAGATGGCTGG